TAGATATATCATAGTTGACCCTTCCGGGATGTACGGTTCTGCAATGTATCATATCATTCGTACTATTTGTGGTATCACCCGAATCAATGTTACAAAAGGTTTCGATATGTATAGATATATATATATATATAAATGATCTCAACAAAAAAATGAAGCTGTTATCAGCTGCTCAAATATATCCTAGTGACAATAACAGCCCTTAAATATGTACAGTATATACAATATAAATATATATTATATACAGTGCATGATGTTCTGAGCTTACGTCACTTAAAAAATTTGTTGGTCGTCTTTATCTATGTTTTGTGCCATAACCGTAGTTTTCCTCATGTTAGAGTTGATCGCGTAAAAATACGAGTTATAAACTTATTATATGAACGAAGATCTCGTCCATAAAATAAGCTCAAAAAACGTGTTGTCACCGAGAGAATTCTATATAAATATATAAATAATGTATTGCCTAAATGACGTCACACCGTGTTGCATAAATTTGTGTTAAGGATAGAAATTAAATATATTTAAAAAAAATGATGATGATGACGATGATAATTATTTTTGAGATGTGAGAATATAATATTTTCCTTTTGTTTTTAAAAATGCAATCCCCCAAATAGTTTAGTANATCAGAAAAAAAATGATCCTATTAAATTCTGTTTGGATGAATTATCAAATTTATTAAAAAACTAACAATAGCTCATGATAAATGTTAGTTTTAAATTAGGCTAATTGCAAACATTTTTAATGTGGTTTTCTTGCTAGTGCATCATTACAGTAACATATTAAGAAGGAAAATAGAACAGTGTTGTAGATAGGTTTCCAAGGATGAATAAAAAGCTGGAATATGTTCATGAATCTTTTTCATTTCAAATAAAGCAATTTTGTTTTTGTTTCTTTAAACTAGATTATTCCTATTTTATTAATGAAAGTTGAATTCATGAGGTTTAAAGGTGGTTGAAATATAAAATTAAAAAAAAATCATTTATTTAATATAAGACANTCTTTAAACTAGATTATTCCTATTTTATTAATGAAAGTTGAATTCATGAGGTTTAAAGGTGGTTGAAATATAAAATTAAAAAAAAATCATTTATTTAATATAAGACAGTAAGGCTATATTGAATATGAAGACATTAATATAAATAAAAATAATGACTGTAACAATATCTTTATATTAAATAAAGATACTATAATATTCCTTTGAGGAATATACAATTTTTAAGAAAATTTCAATTCATTTCTCATATAACTGAAAAATGGAAGACCTAAGGCATCTTAACAACTTCTTTGATGAAATTATTTGGTTGTGTTATTCTGAGAAAATAAAATATAATATCATTCTTACAAATAGAATAATGTATTTAGAAATGTACTGCACTGAAGATAATATGCATTTGACAGAGTAGTCTAATAGAAATGATAACAAATAATGCACATAAACATAGAACTCTAGAATACTCCAACTTTTCACAAATTACTTTATTATGAGTCATTATCTATTAATATTTTTGTCAGTTTATAAATAAGAATGTTCATTCATAACAATTTTCCAAATACTTTTGGATTGATATAAGTTGTGAGTCCAAAAACTTTTTTGAATGTCAACCCATTTGAGGATTTCTTGATCTATTATTGACTCCTCCTCTTTTCTGTTTTTTTTTTTTTTTGCTAATACAGTACGTAATAATAATAATAATTAAGTACAGTGAGCCAGTATGAATCCACACACTGTTTTCATAAAAAATGATCAACTTAGTATGAAGATTTATGACATACTAAACTGTCATATACACAACCCTTTGGATTAATTGAACCATTTTTAATTGACCTCTAACATGCCTTATCAGCCCTTGGGGTCAGTTTTGATCACTTTTAAGGATATCTAATTAAGTCTGTCTTTAACAGAATATATAGGGTTTTTACAATTGATTTATTGGATTAACATATCTAATAAAACATAAATCACCATAATATGAGAAAATGGTTGTCACAGTGAATATAAGGTTGTTTCTGACTTTTGTCTTTTTTGGAAGAGAAAGATGCCTAAATATTATTCTTTAATTTCAGTTCTTATTCTTTATTGGTAATTGTCATTTTGTTACATAAAATCAGATTCAAGTTAAAGTTAAAAGCAAGTAATGAATTAGAAAATGATAGGAACTGCTCACAATCAATTGTTAAAACATTTGTTTTATTTCATATCAAATTACTGATTTTTATTTCAAGTGCCAGAGTAAGTTAAATTTACAAAATTGGAACAGTAGAGTATTTCCATGATGTTAATTTTTTTTAATAACAGAGCATTATTAATATGGATGCCTAAAAATAGCTTTGAATAAATTCAATTTGGGTTAATGGGATATAAATAACTTAGTAAAGTTATTTAATAATAATTTAAATTTTATAAAGTTATTAATAAAAAGTAGAATTCAGTTTAATTAATTAGAAAATAGATTTCTACACCATAGAGTTAAAAAAAAAAGCAAGTAAAACAAAACAGTAATCACAGAGTAAGATACTAGTCTCATTTGTAATTTACAACAAATTAAAATGATGATCTTATTCTATGAGTGTAATAATGTCAAGAAAATGACTTTAGTTCCATTCTGTTCATTTGTGTAATGGAAATAGTATCATGTGTAGAGAAAAGAACAAAAGATGTCTTATTGAAAAAGCCCACCAGTGGCCAAGCAGTTCCATTCCCTGAACATTGGGAATTCAGTGGTGGGTTTGTCTCACCAGGACGGTCTGGCCATGTGGAGTTTTTCAGGTTTTCTCCATGTCTTTAATACCTGAATAGGGGCCAGTTACTCTTAAAAAGACCTCCCAGAAGGCATTCCCCCTAGATAGATTGCCAAGTGTTGCATTGCCGTTACTTAACAAAACAAACTTATTGAAAGAGTTATAATAAAACAACTACATGTCTTTAAAAAAAAAAAAAAACATTATTTTTGTTGGTTGTTAGCAAAACCAATTGATTGACAGAAAGAAATTAATAGCTGACCAAATATGATCTTGAAAAACTCATCTTTCATTGAACAAAGTATAGTAATATATAACTTTGTTTTTGCTTAAAATTAAATGGATATTTTGATTTTTTAAAGCACAAAATATGATTCATGAAAAAATTTTACTGGCGAATGCCTATGGAATTTCTTTGTGAATCATATGTGGCCAGTGAGGAAAAAAGGTTAAAGACCTCTGATCTAAATATTTGATGAATTTTAAAGATATGTGATCAGAATTACTTGTTATTTTTAGTAAAATGAATATTTTTAATGCTTTTAAAAAATTATGGAATTAAATTTTTAAATCAATAAGAAAAATGTTTCATTTTTGCCTGTTTAGTAAATACATTGATAGCTTCATTGCAAAAATTATGAAAAAAAAACATTTAGTTTAAATAAGAAAAATTGTCTTTATGTGTATGAGATAGTTTTTCCATGAAATAATTTATATTGTCTCATCTGTGATGGTAACTACAATTAATTTTTACTTTAAATACTATAAATTTCAAGTTATCATTTTTATTTTAAATATAATATATTAGACTGGTTTTTTTGTTGATCATTGCTCTACAACTGCTCACTTTTATAATTAATATTGCGACCGGAGTTTGGCACCTCTTTGATTCCTTGTCAGGACTGACACCACCGTGTTTTGGTTGACATGGGAGCTGCGATGGTGATTTAGTTTAGGTTAAAAAGTAGGTCACGTGAGTGACCATGTGTGCAAGCGATTGGGTTCTGGTTGGAGATGGAGAGACAGCCTGATGGAAGTAAAGTGCTCAGACACTAAAGTTAACAACTAAATAACCATTTAATTTTAATGAAAAAGTACATGATACAATGATACAATATATTGACTTAACCTATCTATCTAGTAGTCATGAGACAGAGAGAGTTTACAATTGTTCGTGAGTTCGGAAACACCTGTATTGATGGTGATGATTCTTGATTTGGATTTCATGAGGACTTGGAGGTCTAGGATGTTGAGATTGTCTGGATTTGGATCATTTGGGACAGGTCTGGATCAAGAAAGTTTTTCTTCTAGGCACAGTTGAGGGTAATGTGAAAATCTGATAGAGTACGATTAGCACTGACACAGGAAAATTTTGATGACTTTAATCCTAGAGGAACTGGTGACTCTCTGAGTGCTCATTTGGTATTATATTAAAATGATGAAATTGGGACAGCAGGTCAGAAGGATGTGAAAGTGTCTTTATCCATGCTGAGAACTTAAAAAGAGATATACTCCCAGATGTGAAAGTTGACAGATACTTGACAAAGTTGATGTTATGACATTAAATTGTTCATGTTGAAGCCCGGATTCTCACAATATCAGTTTTCTATTGTGTACCCAATTAACTTGATAATAATCCAGTTAATTAGGTACATGGTTAATTTTTGTGATTGGACTTCATTTCCAGGAAGGAATGTCAGTTTTTTATGGTGAAATGATAGTAAGTCAGAAGATTTATAAATGGTTCATTTAATGACAGTTTCCAGAACCAATTAAATCTTGAAAGTGAGGTGTATATATGTATGGAATAAATATAAAAAGTTACCAAATGAATAACCGAATTCCTTTATCTATAATAATAATAATAAAGAATTCTTAAAAATTCTTTATTCTTATTCTTATTCTTCTTAATTCTTAAAAACCTGTCTCCTGTTAAGTTGCTTAGTAATAATTAGTAAGCAATTTGGAAGGAGGCAGCTTTAGTTAGGTTGGAATTCTTTACTATTTAGCCCTAATAGACTGATAAAGGAATCTGGCTATTTGGATTAGTTTAATTTATTATATCATTATATGAAAGATTACAAAGAATTCTACAAAGTTAAAGTTAATGCATGTTAATTAAATATTTCCTATTTTCAATTCTCCACATACAATTAATTTTTTTTCATGTTCTTCTGGACATTAAATTTCATGTTAACAGTTGGAAGTCATTAATGCAATTCCAAATAACTGTTTTTAGTAGAAAAAAAGAATGGTTAAACTAATGCAAATGTTTTAATTCATGTAATCATTTTAAAAATATTTCAGGCAAAATTACAAGAATATGAGTTTACGGATTCTCCATTGGAAGTACCTCGCATGCCAAAAAATGATGCGCCCAATCGCTTTTGGGCATCTATTGAACCTTATTGTGCTGAAATTACACAAGATGACATAAAGGTATATTTAGTAATTTAAAACTTATTCTAATGTATATTTATTTTAAACAATTAAATTATTTGTTAGGTATTGGAAGATCTGATTAAATCACATGATGATGATGCAGATTATTATAAGATACCTGCTTTAGGAAAGCATTATTCCTTAAAATGGGCTCAAGAAGATTTGTTAGAAGAACAGAAAGAAGGTTTGAATTATTAAGCATATTTGTAATAAATATTTTTATATCAAATTATATATCAAATTATGATTATATTTTAATAGGAGCAAAAATTAATGAGAGAAGAAGAGGTTTAAGTAATAATTCTTCTTTAAATTCTTCAGAACCTGAGAAACTTTTAAAAAAAGTAGAGAAAGAATAGTAAGAATTTCTGTTTATTTTAATTATTTTATGATTTTAACAAGTGTGATCTTTTACACTTTATTTGAAGCCTTTTCTATTAATTTATTAAGATTAACTTTTTAATTTGGTTTTACTACTACTATTACTGTATACTTAATTGGTAAGATTAACTTACTGGATTAAAATGAATGCTCTCACTTTAAATTACTAATTATACTAGTTATTTCTGAGAAGTATATGATGCACCAATCGACTGAATAACCAACTGGCCAACCTTCATCTCTCATCTACATTCAAATGTCTCAACATCAAGGAAGCACTGTAAACAAAAATGCAACTTTACAGCCAAGAAGACTTTTGCATTCAGCAGTTTTCAAAGCCAGAATCACATATAACTGTACAATGTGGATAATTTGCAGGCACTGTAGAAATGTGACTGCCATGGGATAAGCAACAATGGATGTGCCATAATGATTGTAGAAAGAGTTTGAATATTGGTTTGATGTGTACCATGTGACATGAAGTGCACACATTGAGCAATTGTAATGGGAAAATGTGAAACTTGGATGATTTTTCAATGTTTTAATGCACATTATGGCATTCTTGGATAATAATTAACATTTTTTTGGAAGACCCTATACTAAAACATTTTATTTGAATAGTTTACATATTCAGTATTATATTAAATTCACTTTAATCACATACTATATTGTACACATAAAATATTAATTTTAATGTTTTTGTCCTAAAATTTTTAAAATTATTTTCAAAAATTGTTATTTGTGAAGTTTATTGTTTATCATATGTTGTTTATTGTTTATTTATTGTTTATCACAATGTTCAATTTTGTGACCTGTCTTGTGTCAGAGTAACTTGAGAATACTTTTTTGATTATATTTGTAGATAAATATAGCCAAATTTATTTTTACAAACATCTTATTATTGAATGATTTTATATAAATATTCTATCATGTTATGAATCTGACATGTTAGAATTTTCTGCTTATTTGGGGATTAAGACAAAAAACCAACATGAGATAATGATGTTAGTATCTCTGAGATGGGATAGAAAGACTGAAAATACTAGGATCTAAATGGAACTTTTCATTTTGATATTTAAAAAAGTTCAAAGAACTATATGCAAAACTATAATTAAACCACATAAAATAGGAATTTTCAAAAAATATTAAGAATTTGTCCAGAAAGATAAAATTCAGGAGGAATAAAAGTTAGTTTTTAGTGAATTGCTAACTGAAAAATGGTTTGGTTCCAGGGCTTGCTAATCTTTTTTGTGAAAATCCAGATTTAAGGGTGGTCATTTTTAAAGACATTAACAAAAGAGAGAGAAAGATTTAAATTTCAATAGAAATTAAATTTTTGTAACTTTAACAAATTTTTGAATCAACAGATGTTAAAAACTTTCGTTTCAATAGGAAGTACATTTCCTTTCTCTGATGACTAGTAAGTTGATTCAGAAACGTTTGCACATGAGACTTGGCTGGCTGTAGGCTGTCGACTTGGATAAAAAGGACAATTTTCCCACCATTCGGGGTGTTTTCGATACAATGTCAGACAGATCGCCATACTAGTTGGGCAGTCCATAGAGACAGAGAGCCATACAATTCAACACAGTTCCCCATACAAGAGAAGACTGTTCTACACATTCGCCATACGATAAGTAAGAGAGAAGAAGACCACCTCCAAAATATGGGTCATGTCGAAAGAGTGCATCTTTAGAAGCAACAATTACTGAATGTTCCGATACAAGAATAGGAAAGAACTGGGAAGGTAGTATATTAACATTTAGATTGGTGTAAACTCTCTGTCATGCGTTAGATTTAAGATAGAGAGTTGAATTTTCTCTCTCTCAAGATAGGGCTAAATATATATATTATTTGTAATCCATTTTTATTATACATTATTTTGATTATTTTTGTTCCATTAAATATTTTGTTAGTTACCTTAAATATGGCCTTTTTGATGATTAATATTCACACCTCTGCCTACTCAAAGTACTTGTGTTCCTCATACTCGCAATTCCGTGGTTACGCGTGTTAATCTGCGTTAAAATAAGATTAACTGGTGTCAGGAATCTGACAGGAGACGCAATTGTGAAATCATTGTCTCCACCTTTTTATCAGCAATATAAGTCCCTCCACACTCGATTTCTTTTTAAAAGATAAACCATCTTTTAGATGAAAGTGAGCGGATCTTGCGATCTGTATCAAGTAAGCGGCATAGTCAAAGACTAAGTCCCTGGCTTCTCACATTTTTCTTTATTAAGTTTCTTTGTATGCACCATCCATCCAAATCAAATAAAAAACAAGAATAAGTTAAAACAACAGACTAAATATTGATTGATTGAATGGAATAAATAAGGATTTGGTGGATAATAAACTAGGTGCAACAGAGTTTAAAATAGTTACTTAATTGTTAATAAAAGTTGCATTTGTTGTTGTTAACATGTTCACGTAAGAAATATTTATAACTGTGGTAACAATGATGACTTATTATTTCTTTTAATTAATTCAAAATAAAAATTTTCAAAATAAATTTGTTAAAAATGTAAAAATTTTTCAGATATACACATTTACAGTTTGTAAAAGTTTGTTAGCTATAAATTCAAAATATAATTATTTTTAAAATTAGATTATGAAATTTTGTTTCCTAATATTCTTAATTTATTTTGTGCTAGTGAAAATGATGACACATCTTCATTTGGAGCTCTTACTCAACGATTGGTCTCGTGTTTAATTGAAGAAAACTTAATGACATCTTTAGAAGATTCAATGAATGATACATTAGCTAAAGGTAAAATACAGTCTGAGCATTTTATGGACTTTATTTTCTAACATTTAAAATTAGAAGACAAATATATTCTTTTCATTGCATTCTTTTGTAATAAATTATAAATTGAAGTTATGTTTATTAGTTTAATTTAATTAAGTCACTATTCTGCTTAGTGTGAGAAAGCTTAGTAGTACCAATGAATGATAGAGCAATGCTGATGGGAGCAAAGCCCTGCTAGTAAGGTATGCCAGCAGGACTTTTGCTTCTGTCAGCCATACAGCATTGCTGTAAGATAAGCTGTAAGGCCACACTTATCAGTAAGGTCTATGAGAAGAAGTGAAGCAAAGAAAAACTCATAAGCAGCATTTGATCTAGACAAAAATCCAAAGTGGTTAGCTGTTAAACGGTATTTGTTGTTCTCCATGTCAAGAGCAGTTGACAGTTAACATATAAACAGCTGTCTTTGAGTATATAAGCATGCTTACTTCTGTGGAGAATACAAAATTAATTGTCATATGTTCACAGTATTATACTGACTCAGATGTTGACTGAGTTAACAAGGTCTGCATTTATAGTTAGGCAGAGACTTGTGCTTGAAAAATTTTCCACAGTCTTCCCTGGCCACCAGTGATGAATACAGCACTAGTCCAAGTACAGCTAATGCATCACAAACAAATTCATCACTTCACTCACACATAATGGATAACTCTCACCAACCCAGTTGAGGGCTTCAGTGGCAATCCAGCTACTGACCACAAGGCTGGAAAAAACATAAATATATGAAGCAGACTTAAGAAATGATTGAATTCGTCATCTGTGTCTACTACACCATTACAAAATTCAAAATATGTGTAGAGGAGAAGGTGGTATTATGGAACCCCAATTACATTTTAGTGAATTGTAAACAAGGTATCATAACTACACCCACATTTATGGAATTATGGTATTTATGGTATTATGGAACCCCAATTACATTTTAGTGAATTGTAAACAAGGTATCATAACTACACCCACATTTTTTGTGCGAAAAGTACTGGTAACTAGTAAACTAAATGTTCCTAATTGGATTTTTCGCTAGTGTAATTATAAGTATGGTTTTTGAAGGCTTTTGTACAAAAAGTCCGAAAGTAGGCTTAGAGAAAATCGGGTGGTAATATGGAACCTTACTGTATATTTTCAAAAAAATGCTTTAATGTAGCCAAAAACAAATAGGAAAGGACAAAAAATGTTAAATAATTACAAAATTATTTACTTCAATGTATTTTATCGCAAAAATGCTTTTATAATAGAAAAATATGACCTCCATCAACAACATATATTCCAGCAGCTCTTTTTCGATATTTTCAGACTTTCTACCTAGTGTCTTTTTCCCAAATTGCTCCGGACGAATGTCTGATTGCAAAGAGAGAGTTCGGAGGAGTTGAGTTCCATATTACTGTAAAAGCACCAAAGGGGTCCGTATTTCACGCATCGCTGTCTCGAATTAACTTATGTCTGTCAAGACCAAAATTTAAAAAACGTGAACATCACACAGATTAATATGTACCCTTAAGTCTCTGAAACAGAATAAATGCACCAGTAAACCTACAACTACGCAATTTATATTTTAAAAATAAGTAAATTCACTTAGCATTCAAAACTTGTGAATTTTGAAAAAAACAAATTTGCTGATTAAATACGGACAACCGTTTAACTGAAGTAAAACGGGTTTTCCCCTTGCTATGGATGTCTGCCTAGTTCAGTTCATCCACATTCCGCTACAGTTTGCCTTTATTATTAGTTTGAAATGGGGTGGTTCCATAATACCATCTTCTCCTCTATAATAAATACAAATAACTTGATAATTACTTCAGATATCAAATAAACAGCCAGATTTCTTTATCAGAATATTAAGGCTAAATAATTGCTAAGCACTTTGGCAGGAGTGTTAAGACCACCAGGCCACCATCTCTTGTTAAAGAGGTTGGTTGGATGGAGGTCCCAGTAATGTAATTGACAATGTGTCTGCATGGTAAGCAGAAATTGTTGATTCAAGTACCATTCTGCACCAATTTTTTCTTCCAGAATATTCTAATATTAATTTAAATGGATTAATTAATTTATAATTATTATATTTGGTAAGAGATTCTTGTCAAATTGTTTATATTAATAATTATTTAGTCATAATAGCCCAATAAAGGCTGTTTGTTTGATATTTTTATATAATTTAAAAATACAATATCATCAAATTGAAAAAAGAAACTATCAATAAAGCTTAATTTTGGATTTATATATATATATTAAAAATCAAATATATTTTATAATTTTGGACAACTGAAATTCTATGAAAGTTTTTAATCAAAATTATGTGATTATATGGAATTTCATGAAATTTTATTTCAGACAATTCAGATGGTAATGCAAGTCCACCACCAATTAAAGGAAATATCATGAAATCTTTTAATATGGGAAACACCATGCAATTAGAGAAAAGAATAAGAAGAGAATTGGAAGAACAAGGTATTTAGCAATAATTTATTTTTATATACATAACTAAATATCCTACTACAAGTAATAGCTACTCCATCCTCTGTCTATAACTTTAAACATACAGGGTTTGTTGAATAAGTATCGGGACTGAAGTCGTAAAAAAAATTATTGAAGATATATGTACAGTGAGCTAATAATCTTCAAAATATGACCCTCCTGCTACCGCTGCCAACACTTTTCCAGTCTTCATATGCCTCCTGGAAGGAGGCAACTGCAAAGCTGTTCATGCACCCCATCAAAGCCACTTGGACAGCCACAGTCACTCAAAAAGATGTCCTTTCAGACTCCTTTGATATGAGGGAACAAAAGTTGTGGGGAGCCACATCTGGACTGTAGAGTGGTTGGAGCAGTGTTGACACGTGTTTGGCCAGTGCCTCCGTCACAATTAGCTACTTGTGACTGGCGCATTGTCATGATGGAACATTCAGGTATCAGCAATCTCCTTTTAGATTTGGTGGACCCTAATTCTCAAAAGTTTTTGCACTTTGATCACGTTATCACATTTTCATCGGTCCGGGTCACTGTCAGACATCCAGTGCATTGTTCATCTTTGATGTCTGCCAGCCATCTTTGAATTTTTTATGCCACTCAAACATGTTCTGGACATAGCTTCATCCTTGTAAGCCTTATGAATCGTATTCAAAGTCTCAGTAGTGGATTTATTCAATTTAATGCAAAATTAAAAATTGATGGCAAAATGCTGCTCAATAGTTTCCTGTATCTTGACTCTCTATGCGAGCACTAAACACACGTTCACTTCGGGCACGATCTACACACTCCAAAGGCTCAGAGACAACTGAGCCAGGTCTCGTAGCTTACGTGACATCCCCACTGCTGATCCCGCCCATAGAAACCATCCTCCACCCAATCCCATTGGCAGGAAAAAATTAGTCTCGATACTTATTGAACAAATTCTGTATCACTAAGCCAAACAGGCTATTTTCAGAATTTGTATCAGTTATGCTGCCATTATTTAATAATTATAATTATAAGTAATTAATTTTAAAAAATTCTGGTAATAAGAGTGAGATTCAAACCCTTAACTTATGCTTACTATGCAGTTGTATTGGATAGAAGTCTAAGTAGTGTAACAGGCAGAATGATAGCACAGTAAGCAGAAGTTGTAGTTTGAGTTCCACTCTGAGGTAATTATACATCTTCTGATATGAATGCTACCATTTTAAAATACCATAATTATGTTATTTATTATCTGATAAGTTTGACATACACCAATCAACCAATCAATGAGTAACTGAGTTTAATCTCCCATCCATATTCAAACATCTTTTCATCAGCTACCTCTAAATGCTGTCTGTGCAATAAATGAAAATGACAACTCCACAGCAGAGGAGTTTTGTGTTCTGCAGTTTTCAAAGTCAGAATCAAAAAACTTGTCACTGTGCAACGTGAGTATTCTGCAAGTGAATAGTGACTGCCGTGGGAGGAGGGCTAACAGATATACTGTAGCAAGCATAGGAGGAATTTGAGTATTAGTTGGATATGTGCCTTGTGACACATGCATGTGTTGAGAAATTGTAATGGGCAAGTGGAGTTTTTCCAATGTTTTAATATACCTTACAATGTTCTTGGCTAATAACATAATTACAGTAATTTAAAATGGTAGAATTCTTTTTGGAAGACCTTACATAGATTGGTTTTAAACATGTCTTTCCTAACAACTTATTCTGAAGATTTCTGTTAAATTCTGCATTTAAGTTTCTTGAATTGCTTTATTAAATAATTTTATCTGAACTGTTCTTGTATGATCTAAAATTTACAAAATAAAATTTAGTAGTGAAGTATCTATTATAAAGTAATAATTGTCAAAGGTAAATAATTAATTATAAACTAGGTAATAATAAAGATGATAATTTCTGAAATCTCAGAAATCAAACTGACAATATTTTCTTATCAGTTATAAACTGGAAATTTAAGTGCAAAAACATAATTTTGTTTAAAAAGTTCAGTCGTGTTTGAATATGAAAGAAAGCTTATATGCAGAATTTTAAGAAATGGCATATAAAATTACTTGCATTAATTACAATAAATCTATAAAAATCTTTTTTAAACAATATTTTTAATAAATATGCTTAAGCATTTTGCTATAACCTGGATTGCAAGAATTGCTAGATTACATTTTGTCACATTTTTTGCTCTGAATTTTGCTAAAGAAATAAAAGAAAAAACAAAGAAAGAACAAGATCTGCTTCACTTTAGCAATTAAAGAGTTCATTAACAAAAATATAGAATTTTGCTTTTGTGATATCATTGGAACTAAAAAACTAAAAGTTCAATATAAGTATGAAACCAGATTTATTAATTTCATTCAAAAGAGCCCCTTTCTGTTTTAATTTGTTTTGTTCCTAAATAATAAAATTATACTAAGGAGAAAAATGGCACAACGTGACTGAAATGGCTCTTATACCAATAAAAAAAAACCAATTGACAGCAGTTGGATGAGAAAATGTAATTGGAAGCATATTACAATACATATAATGGTAAATCCTTTGCACAGTTAATTAAATGAAGCCATGTTTGTTGTTGGAAGGTTTTGATGCTTGACCTCAAATGGAATCCTTAAAAGCTCCAGTTCATCAAATTTTTTTAAGGTAATCGGGAACTGGCAAGATATGATAAGAAGACAACACTTTCATGTCAGTGCTTTTCCTTAATTAATTCTACAACTTTCAGTAATGTTCTACATTCATAGCTGGTCTAGATTCAAAAAACTGTAGTTTGGACATTCCCATTCACCAATGGCCAAACATGGCATAATATACTTTGGATATTGATTACATTAGGAAGTTTGTTTTGTCAGTGGCAGGACATGTACAATGTTCATAATCTTTTCATTGCCATTAATTACCACCCAATGTGAAATATATTTAATTATGTGACATGCAGCTCACATTGTTTTTCACAGAGAATGTTTTTGCACAAGCTGTTTCAGCCATGTTTTTGCATTTCTTTTTGAGCTTCACTTGCATCTGGTTTAGTTTCTCTGGCCTTTCTTTTTACAGTAATGTAAGCCAAATGCTTTTTTACAGTATTTTTATCACGTCTAAACTTTCTTAATTCCAGAAGTGAATTTTCTATACAAGCTTAAAAGGTAGCATTAAATAGATCATCAGAAAGATTTCAAATCTTTAAAAAGAAATAATATATTTTTATGTTCTGTAAGGCATTAAAGAGCAGTAAAAATTATGAAAATGCTAAATAGAAGTCATTCTGTTGATAAGTCATCATGCTATGTTAACCAGACATTAAATTATATTTTTATAACTATTTTTTATAATAGTTTATACTAATGACTAGATAGTTGAGTGGTTAAGATGGTTTCCAAGATTGCTAAAATGCAAGATCTGCAATTTTACTTTAGAATGACCACCACTAAATTTTTAATTTAATAGAGAGGTTGAGGCGCACGTTTTAAACGTGTAAACGTGTACGTGTGACGTTCGACACCGCTTTCCCGTAAGCCTAAAAGTTTGACAATGGTGTTTGGATAGTCGGTGGAATCACGCTCGACATTTCAAACACCATCGTCAATCTTTTAGGCTTACGGGAAAGCGGTGTCGAACGTCACACGTACACGTTTACACGTTTAAAACGTGCGCCTCAACCTCTCTAATGTCTTTCTTACAAAAAAGAAAATGTAATTGGCTATAGTTACATATTAAATTAAGTTGTTCAAATGCTACAGCAGGAGCTTAAGACTGGAACAAATTTAGCTGAAATTACAGTTCATGCTGAGAAAACATCCTATTTTATCACTACTCATGTATTAAAAAACTATATGTATAAATTATTAGAGGAAAAAATTATAAATATAAATTATTGTATTCTTTTATATATTCTTTTATTGTATTTTTAACAGTGTCTGCCCTGTGGGCATTAAGAGGACCTTTTTTAGCAAGCCAATTATGTGGTGAGGGACAGGGTCTGACCTATCTATCTATTGTGGATAGACCACCACTCCAAAAAATATCCAGGGATTTTTTTGTCCCATCCGGATTCTGTCTAATAGGCTGTCATCTTAAACCATTCAGCTATCTGGCCATCAGTATAAACTATTATAAAAAATACTTATAAAAATATACTTTAATTCAGGGCTTCTTAAAGTTTTTTTATTCACAACTCTATTTATGATTGTGAATTTTCTCGCGACCAAAAAAATATAAAATAAAGATATATACAAATTTGCAAAAACAATAATGGTGTACTACTATAGTTCACTCTTGTGTTACAATAGAACAGAGACAACTGAATACACTGAAAAGTGACAACACTACACTAGTTCACACTACAATCAGTGTTGCTGAATCGTTGTCTTGCTGTACCAGAAGTGAAACAAAGTGCAACTCACAAAACCTATGACACAAAGTATGCCATTTTCAAACTCTCACAAATTATTTTCAATATTTTGCATTAAAATCTTGCGAACCCAAGATTTCGCTAAGTGACCCATAGTTTAAGAAGCCCTACTTTAATTGAATTAAATTACAACTTATTAAATACAAATTGGAAATTTATATCTAGAATAGTTTTTTAAAAGTGTGTAATTATAAAAATATATTGTGTATTAGAATTTCTCATATTTTGAAAAAATTAATGATGATCAACTTTTATGATGTCTTTTCCTTAGTTTCAAGGGAATCTTTGAAATATATTTTTATAAACAACCATTTGGTTATAAAAAAAACAAACAATTAGTATTTTATAGTGAAAAATTATGGCTTTTTACCATACTTTTATTATTGCTTATTGCTGTGCTGTTTTCACATGATAATTTTGATTCAGTTTATATTTAATGTAAAGAAGTCGAAACCTATGTTCACCAGTAAATAATTTATTGTAAAAATAAACATTTTCAATCACTTTCAGTAATCATAATGTTAATACATTTTTTAATTAAATTGGAAGGTGAGTTCAAGAAATATTCTAAACAATATACAGCATATACCACATTAACCTTTGTACAGAGAGTTAGTCAGATATGGTGCTATCAACGATGTAGTGGAGAATAAATGTGGGAATTTTTTAAAGAATTTTCTCCTGCGTTTTTCTCATTGTTGTTTTGTAAAAAACTTTTTAAACAGTTATGTCTAGTAAAGAAAAATCTTTTTTTATTTTCATGTCACATAATTCCTTTTTTATGTGAATTTTTTATTCACAGTAGTTTTTGGCGATATCCGCAAAATTTTTTTGCAGATTTAGACGTCGTTCTCCAGTGCCACGTGATTGCCCTTGACAGGTATATCCGTCGATCACTGCAGAGTGGTTAAAATCATATTTAAATCAATAAGGAGCAAAGAGAAGCTTTTTATTAAAATGATGTATAACCAATCTCATCAATACACACTGTAAAATATACGACTTACTTAGAACACTGCGTTTCAGAATTCATATGAAACAGATACATTCGAATAACATCAATTCTGCCCATTTTCTTTTATTCACCTGAAGAATAACTAAGTTCGAAATGTTAGTAAAGGTATTTTGAAATAAGCACTGTTTGGGTTTCAAGTCCAAAGTAAGTCATTGATGTATAACCATGGCAATGTCAAAATTATGTTGAATGTTAGCAAAAATAAATAATATATCTTTTTAATAAATAAATATCATAATATTTTATTTTAAGCTTAAGCAATATTAAGAATATGTAAATATAGTAAATAAGAAATGTAAATTTAAATGGATCTATAGGTTCCATTTTAATTTAAACTTTATTATTGTTAAAATTTGAATGTCAATTAATAATAATAACTACTTTGCTTGAGACAAAGTTCTTTAAAAAAAATTTAAGAACTTTCCAAAGAATTTTGGTTTGATAAAATCAATTTGAATTTGGTTTACACTCAAGGAATTTTACATCATTGTGTTTATATTATATTACTTACTTACAAAACAAGTAATTTAATATAGCACATATATTACACAATATTAAGTATTATATTAAAATGAAGATGTGGTAAAACAAACATTAGATATAAAATACAGAGAAAAATTAGATACAGTAGAGCGTCGATTATCCAAATCCCGATCAACTGAAATGTTGGTTAACTAAAAGCATTCCAGTCAGCCTGTGTCATGCTGAATCGAACGTTTTTGATACTAGATTAACTTCTAAAGTATAATTTTTTTTGTTTTTATATTTTTCAATATATTTATTTTGTTTGTACAAAATAAATAAATAATTTTTAACAATACAATAGCCATGATTATTATTATAAAAATTTTTGGTAGACTTAACATTGACAAAAATTCAATGCAAAGTGACATGCAACAGAGAAAAATTTAAACATAGGATATATTAATATACTATTATTGGGATATACTAATATACTATATTAATAATGTATTTTTTTGTACATAATCGGTTATCTGAAAAATCATTTTTCCAAACAATCCCAGTCCCCAATTGATTTGGATAATCGACGCTCTACTGTACTTAAAAACAGAAAAATTTAAATGTATTTACAAGCATATGTATAAGCTACTAATGAATATAATGATGACGCAATTAACTTGAAAGTGTAAAAGCATAATAAAAACATCTGGTAGTAATATTGTGCAATATTTGTTTACAGATTTATGAGTTCTACATGTGATAAGAGTTAATTTATATACATTAACAGATCTTCCACAGTTTAAATAGAAGAATATTATATTTATACACTAATAAGTTCAATATTAAGTAATGTATGTTGGATTAATGCATTTGTTAAAAAATATAAGTGAAAATTTATTCATTTTTCTATTTTAAGATTGTAAGAATATGGTAATTGGGAAATTTCTTTGATTATTTTTAATATTAACAGTCAAATATTGGAACATTTAAGAAGTGTAATATATTTGTAAATAAATTTAATTACTCTATCAATTATTTATTAGAATTTAAAAATATTAATAGAAACAATAATTCTTAAATTGTTAAATTATATAATAAGGAGAATTCTTCATATTTTATTTAAATTTCAGGTATACTAGATGCTGATGATGTTACCGTCGAGAATCCAGATGATGAAATTCTCACAGAACTAAAAAAATGCCAGGCAGAACTAAAGACTCTTAGCACATACAACCTGACTCAGATCAAAAGATTGCTTCGTTTAGCCAAAGAAGAAATGGCAAAACAGGAAATTCGGAAAAAGTTACAGGTGGCGGATAATGAGGTAACTATCGTAATTTATTATTGTAATTTTTGTCTTTGTTTTTCTTTTTTAATATTCAGATTTAGAGAATTTATTTTTATTTCCTAGGTGATGGAAGCTCACAGAAGAATCATGGCTTCGAAACAGAAAAAACGCAGTCCCACAAAAAAAGAAAAAGAATTAGCAATGAAGGCAATTAAGGAGAGAGAACAGATCTTAAAACAGCTTGATGGCATCGGACAGTTTGTATAAATATAATATAATAATCATACAGCAGTTTTGTATATAGATTCAGTTTTATTATTATATCCACTGGATGATATATTTTTTGCGTTCTAGTAAAAAAAAACCATCAATATTTATATTAGTAACTGATGCCTCCTTGTCCGACGGCATCCTTCGAAACTATTTTCGACAATCTGGCTGACTATACACGCCGTGAATGTTGTACATTGAATCTTTATTAATTTACACAGAAACATCCTTTAAATGTCATTCTGAATATTTTGTAATTTAAAGAAAAACTCACTATAAAGGATGTAATGTTTATTGTTCCCATTAAATGGGATATATCTTTTTTAGAAACGAATCATTTTTTTAATATCAACAAAATAAAAAAAATTTTTAAAGCCATTTTTCGAATATATTATTTTCTTGCCTCAAAGTGTCTCTTAAAAAGTTGTCTATCACAATAATTTATCTTATGTGCAAATACATTATTCCTATTTTTAACAACTGATACTAAAAGAACATTTGAAGTAATGTGAAATATCATTATTATGTCTGCCAGGTATCAAAAAAAAAAAAAAAAA